GGGTTGAGGGTTCCGTCCGACCTATGGAAGTGGAGTCCTCGTAGGACCACATCCCTTTGGTTGGCTTGCCCCGAAGTAATAGGTGGGGGGGAGGGGGAGGCCGACTTGGGCCCTATGGGCCGCCACTGCCCTAGGGGGTGGCATTAGGATCCTTTCAGAATTTTCAAGAGGTTTCTGAAACATATTGAAGCTTTCGTCAACTTCCAGGACATTCCAAGAGACTACTGGATATCACTGGGACGTTCTCGGGACCTCCAAGAACAATTTTGAGATTATCAAAAACACTCTTTCGGACCTCTTCTCTCTCGCTCTCTATTATCACACAGTACGCCTACATGTTGGTAATCATTAATCGTGTGACCCTATAGGTTCGAGACTATGTGGACAAGTTTGTAACACCTTTCAGTCCATAATTATTAGCGAATCCGAACACCCACAGTAATCCCCACATAACATTGAAGATCTTTATTAAACAAACCTTTTGTTATTGCATGCAATTCTCTTTGCCTCTCCATACGTTACCAAACATGAGGGGAGACTTTGATGGTATCATTGCGATCAACTCCTTGATCACTATACCTAGTTATCCTCATTACCGGTTTGTACTCTTTCGTTGTAATTGTATTTCAGTATACACATGATTAACTCCTTAGTCACAATACATGGTGACGAGATGCTAGACACTGTAATACCATGTTGTCGAGAGTGTATATATCCATCACCGGAGGGGCAAGTCTCAGTCTTGACATATCTAGTACCACGACATACTTCCTTGCGTTACCGAAAGTTAACTTTATAATTACCCACTTATGGAGTAACATACAACACATTGACGACATGATCTCGTGTCATACCATACGATGGGTCTATCCAACACCATTATAACCCTAACAACGTGCTCCGGTTATTGTTTTCATCCTTGTTACATTAACTATGTACATGGTCATGAAAGCATAACCATTAACAATACATGAGCAAGTCGAGAGGTCTAACTCTGTTTGGTATTTATATCTCTACACATGAAATTAGGTTTTCCTCCAAATCTCACATTAAAAAGCCAATGCAATTCTAGCATTGAAATATAAACTTAATTATGAACATGCAAATAAAACAATATCAACTTTTATTATTTCCTCTAGGGCATATTTTTAACAGTCTCATACTTACACTAGAGTCAGTAATCTAGTCAATGCTAATACACCTAACATCTATGGCATTCCGGTCTTGTTCATGTTTTGTTTGTGGTTCAGGATTCGTCAATGGATCTGGCACATTCAGTGTTGGAAATATGCCCTAAAAGAAATAACAAATGTATTATTATATTTTTCATATTCATAATTAAGTTTATATTTTTGTGGTATGATTGCATTGATTCTTAATATGATATTTTGAGGACAACTCAATTGCATGCGCGGAAAAATAAAGACCAAT